CCAGCCTTCTGGTTAGCAGTCAAGTGCCTTAAGCACTATGCTACCAGAGTTCCTTTATATATATATATATATATATATATATATATATAAAATAACAAAATCTAGACACTATCTACACAGTTTTAACAACCAAAAAGGAAAACTTACTCTTTACTAAGTACAATCCACTACTGTAGCTTACTCTTTATTGACTAAGTACAGTCCACTACTGTAGCTTAACAATCAAATTGTATAGCTTTAATCATGTGTTGCTTCTGTAAGGCACTGTGGTATGGACTAGAAAACTTGAAATGACTCATTAAGAAACCTTTGAAAGATACATGAAGGATGATATGAAAAGTCATTCTGAGGCAGGATGCTTTACCTAATTCTTTTTAACCAGAATATCAAACATTAGGAATGAGTTCAAGTTAAAATTCACAGGAGAATGGAAACATCTGTGTGTCAATTTGGCTGGACCCCATTTCTCTGTGGTTGTTTCCATGATGGGATCAGATGAGTGGCCAATCTGTTCAAGGGGAGTTTCCCTAGGGATGTGGCCTGCTTCCAGGATACCCAGGGACATCCTGGGAAGAGACACAAATTTTCTGTGGATCGGGATTCTGTTGTGCTGCCTACTACTGTCTGTGAGTGAGCAGTCCACTATTCGGCCTGGAGATCTTGGATTCATCATTTGTTGGAGTCAACAGCCGATGTACTGCCGGCCAGCCTTGAGCTTCTCGGCCCGTGTGGCTGCGGAAGCTAAGAATAGCCTCCAGCCTGACGTTTGCTCTAAGGACTTTGGACTTGCCGGCTTCTATACATTTGTGAGCCAGTTTCCTAAGATAAACTTCTCCCTCTCTCTCTCTCTCTCTCTCTCTCTCTCTATATATATATATATATATATAAGCTTTGTTGGTTTTGTTTCTCTAGAGGATCCAGTCTAACACACATCTTAAGGTTCAGTCACTTCACATGCCCATCCTGACACTCTGAATAATCTGGAAAATTACAGAGTCACCAACAACAAAAATGAAGAGATCCAATAACCAGGGTTCTACAGAAGCCCTTTCTGCGGGGGCATTTCTCCAAGTCTTGCTGATGTTGCAGTCCTGGGTGATGTTATTGCTATGTTTTTCGTTAGCCATACGAATCAGCTACTTAGCCATTATCTTTGCGGTGCTACCACCTGTCCGGCCACCCCTCAGACTCACTCGTTTACCTGAGGGCTCACCTGCTCTCAGTGCTGCGAGGCTTCACTTGTGGAGTTCACACCACTGGAGTAAGAAAGTTCTCAGGCCAGGCATGACCTCCAGCCATTGGGCCTGGGCATGACACACATGGGGGCTGAGCACTAGCAGGCCACAGGCTGCCGACAAATGATGCTGGACTGACCAGCCAAGCAAGGCTGACATGCAGGAGGAAGACAGCAGGCCTCTAAGACATTTTCACGCCACTGCCACCACTGGAGTGTGAAGTTAAAGAGGAAGGAAGAGCAATGCCATAGCTGGACAGTGCAGCCTGCTGCCTCAAACTCTCTTCATTTTGTTTTAATCTTTTTTTCTGACTGATCCCCTTCCAAAGAAGTATTGAGGTATTTGTTTTCAATCTCACTAATTCTGTCTTCCATTGATTAAATTCTACTCCTTTGCCCAATCAGTGTGTTACCTATTTGAGAATTTAGTACTAATCTGGATTTCTATCTTGTAGATTTTGTATCATTTCTAATTTTTCATTTATTTTGTCATTTTGTTATTTTATTGTCTTCTGAAATCATTCTAGGGTTATCTCTGTGTTTTCCTCAATTTTGTCAGTGTTTTCCTTGCTCTCTCAATTCAGTGAAGGCACCTAAATATAATTCTTCTGAATTCCTTATCAGGGAGTTCCAATGCTGTTTCTTCCTCCGGGTTGTGTTCTGGGTCTGTATCCTGGTCCCTTGTTTCTACTGCTTTATCTTGCATCTTTGTGTGGACTGTGATGGTCTGTTTTCTCCAAGACACTGTGACCTTTAATTGGTGATTGTATTTTGGAGTGATTCACCCAAGATTTTCATTGTCTTTGTTTTGTTTGGATGTTGTCTGAGTAAGCAGGGTACTGTGCTCCTCTGTTCGTTAGTTTGCTTGTTGTTGTTGTTTGCCGTCAAGTCGGCCCCGACTCATAGCGACCCCTCCTTGGGTTTCCAAGGCAGTGTCACTACGAAAGTAGGATTGCCCAACCTTCCTTCCGAGTCGTTAGTTTGCAGCACTTATGAATTCACCACCTGTCTCCTTTCCAGTCATCAGCCTTCCGTATGTCTGTACTGTCTTTGGCAAGTGAAGCCTATTTTTAGGCCCCTGGAATCTGAATGAGAATGCTGTCACTTTAAATATCCAAAATGGCCACTGTTTGTAAAAATTCAAAATGGCTGCACCCTCCAGACAGCCAAAAGTCCGCAACTCATTTTGTCTCCTTTGCTGTTTCTCCTTTGAGTCATCAGCTACCTGTGCATTATTCCATGCAGCCCTTGGTGAGCAGGGCCAATTTTTAGGTTAATTCTCAGGTCCTAACACCACTTGGAAATATTCAGGCTGTCCATGCTGTCAGGATAGCTGACAATTCCGTAGCTCTGTTTGTCTCCTTACTCACTGTTTTTTATTCAGGTTCTTCTACTAGTTGATGTTTAATTCACTTCTGTATCCTTCCTTTCAAAGCTCAGGGCTCCAGGTTTATCTTCTGTATCTATGTCAATTGGTTTCTCTTTTCTTTGTTGAAGAGGGTCTGTGTAGCCTGTCTGCCTATTCCACCATCTTACTGGAAGTCCACTGTTCAGCTCTTTTATCTTGTCATTTCTTCCATTTGCTTTAGCTTCTCTCCACTCAATTGCAAGTTTCAGAATCTCTTCTGACATCCATTTTGGTCTTCTTTTTCTGTCTTTTATATGACCTCTTGCTTTCTTCATGTATGATGTTCTTGATGTCATCCCACAATTCATCTGGTATTCAATGTGTCAAATCTGTTCTTCAGATGGCCTCTAAATTCAGGTGGAATATTCAGGTGGGATATTTGCTGGATTACATGAAGAAGAAAGTGGCATCAGAATTGGAGGAAGACTCATTGATAATCTGTGATAAGCTGACAACACAACTTTGCTTGCTGAAACTGAGGATGTCTTGAATCACTTACTGATGAAAATTAAAGACTACAGTCTGAAGTATGGATTATACCTCAATATAAACTAAACAAAAATCCTCACAACTGGACCAAAAAGGAGCATTAAAATAAATGGAAAAAAGATTAAAGTTGTGAAAGACTTCGTATTACTTGGTTCTACAATCAACACCAATGGAAGCAGCAGTCAAGATATCAGACATTGTATAGCATTGGGCAAATAATGCTGCAAAAGACCTCTTTCAAGTGATGAAGAGCAAAGATATCTCCTTGAAGACTAAGGTGCACCTGACACAAGCCATGGTATTTTCCATTGCCTCATATGCATGTGAGAGCTGGACAATGAATAAGGAAAACCGAAGAAGAGTTGATGCTTTTGAGTTGTGGTGTTGGTGAAGAATGCTGAAGGTATCATGGACTGCTAAAAGAACTAACAAATCTGTCCTGGAAGAAATGCAGCCAGAATGCTCCCTGGATGCAAGAATGGCCACACTTCATCTCACCTATTTTGTTCATGTTTTAAGAAGGGACCATTCCCCTGGAGAAGGATATCATGCTTGGTAAAGTGGAGGGTCAATGAAAAAGAGGAAGGCCCTCAACGAGATGGATAGACAGTGGCTGCAACGATGGGCTCAGTATAGCAAGGATTGTGCAGCTGGCACAGCATCAGGCAGCATTTTGTTCTGCTGTACATAGGGTCACTATGAGTCAGACATGACTCATTGGCACCTAACAACAATAAGCAAGGTGATAATTTGGCTCTCATGGACTTGTAATTGCCTTCAGCTTCAAGCTGAAATTGCATGTGAGCAACTGATAGTCCATTCCACAGTCAGTTCCTGGCTTTGCTTTGGCTAAAGATAATTGTGCTTCTCCATCACCTCTTTCCACAGATGTAGTCAATTTGATTCTTGTGTATTCCATCTGGTGAGGTCCACGTGTATAGCCACCATTTATGTTGTTAAAAAAAGGTATTTGCAATTAATAAGTCATTGGTCTTGCAAAATTCTGTCATGCAATCTCCAGCATCATTTCTATCACCAAGGCCGTATTTTCCAACTACCAGTGATTCTTCTGGTAGTTATATGGATGTATTTATCATTTGGAGATTAAACCAAAATGTTTTATGTTTTAGTGGGTAGGTTGTATTAGGGCTTAAATTCTAAAACAGTTTGTAGAGGGCTGTGGTCCACAGAGGGAGCCCTAACTGCATTTTGTGTTCTGACATAAATTCAGACCAACAATAATTATATTTTATAATATATAGATGGGATGATTTCCAAGATTTTTAGGTACTTTACTGATACTAAATTAATGCTCAAATTTATACTCTTTTGCTTTTTATGTCACAAAGAAAAGATACATACGCCCGGGCCTCACTTATCTCACTTATTGGCATGGTTAGCTGTTAAACCTTAGGCAATGTGCCACTGAAAGAACCAAACTCACTGCATCAAGGTGATTACTACTCATAGTGATTCCCTTTGGGTTTCTGAGATGGGCTGATAACCAAAAGTTCCCAACGAGGAAGCATATTTCAGGAGCAGCGCAGCGAGCAAACACAACCCCTAGGCCGGTAGGAGCCGAACTGCACCCTGGGAGTTGCAGTTCCGCTCGGAAAGGGCCCCAAAGAGGGCGCCGCACATGCGCACTAGAAGAGCCAAGTCAACAAAGACGGCAGCGTGAGCGCGCGCGCCGGAAAAAGACACAGGAGGGCGTGCGCGTGCGCGCCGCGCTCCACTATCCGGAGGCAGAGGACGGGGAAGGGGGTGGGGAGCAAGAGTTGGTCTCCTACAGACAGCCGAAGACCTGTTTGTGCTCCTAGCTCTTAGGAGAAAGGGGCGTGGCCGGCGGGCAGGGCGTGGAGGTGTCGAGCTCCTGGGACCGGCAGGCGCGCGGGCGTTTGTGGCTGTCGCAGTGGCCGCCGCCGTCGCTTGGTCGCCGTCAAACTGCGGGAGGCGGGTTATGGCGGCGGCGGCAGTGGGAGCTGTGAATGAATTCCCCAGGTGGACGAGGGAAGAAGAAAGGCTCCGGCGGCTCCAGCAGCCCGGTGCCTCCGAGGCCTCCGCCCCCCTGCCTGGCCCCCGCCCCTTCCGCCGCCGGGCCGGCCCCTTCGTCCCGGTCGCCGCATAAACGGAACCTGTACTATTTCTCCTACCCGCTGTTCGTGGGCTTCGCGCTGCTGCGCTTGGTCGCTTTCCACCTGGGGCTCCTCTTCGTGTGGCTCTGCCAGCGCTTATCCCGCGCCCTCATGGCCGCCAAGAGGAGCTCCCGGCCAGCGCCAGCGCCAGCCCCAGCCTCGCCCCCGTCGCCTGTGCCGGGCGGGGAGGCCGACCGCGTCCGAGCTTTCCACAAGCAGGCCTTCGAGTACATCTCCATTGCCCTACGCATTGATGAGGACGAGAAAGGTAATGGGAAGAGGGGGAGTAGGGGAAGGGGGCAGCACCGGGAAGAAAGAGGCAGGGGTCGCAAAGAGAAGATAACACCTGAGTCCCTTTCCTGGGGGAGGGGCCGTTTCCACCCTGGTATTGATCTGCCCCTGGGGAGCGCTCTCCCGCAAGTCAGACCCTCATCTTTTATGATTTTCAATTAACATCCTCTGTCCAGATACCCTAGTTATACACTTTGTTTCAGACTGTAGCCTTCCTCCGCACTTCTCTGTTAGACACCCAGACGTGCTGGTAACAGTGACAGTTGTCCTAGAGTGACCACACAGATTCTTTCTAGCAGTGTGCACAGTTGTAAACAGTCTGCGGCCCCGTCAGAGCCAGGTTTCCAAAAGGTTTTCATATCGAAGAACCTGTACCTTGTTACAGGCTTTTAATGAAAGCAGAGTACTGTAGTTAAGGTGTCAGAAATCGAAAAAGAAAAATAACAAAAGGTGACTTAATTTTGAAAGGAACATCTGCATATTATTACAACTGGATTTGCAGTATTTTTTAAAGTTTCATGACAGTCATTTTGTCGATATGATGACACCTAAATATTTTCCAGTGAAGTTGTATTGTAGCATAAAAATTCTGCTCTGGTTGCTTTGATTTCAATTAAACCAGTATTCCAAGGTGGCTTCTCTAAGTTTCTAAGCTGAAATTTAAAATGAATGAATAGGATAAACTTACTATTTTAGAATAAAATCTAAAACAAATGACAACAAGGATAATACAACCCTTTCTTAGTTATTTAGTGCTGTTGTAACAGGATACCATAACAGGATGGTTTAATTTTCTCACAGTTTAAGAGGCTAGAAGTCGGAATTCAGGGTGCCAGCTCCAGGGGAAGGCTTTCTCTGTCAGCTTTGGGGGAAGGAAGGTCCTTGCCTTTTCAGCTTCTACTTCCTAGTTCTTTGCAAATCTCAGGGTGGCTTAGCATCAGTCTTCCCCCATCTCTCTTCTTTCACTTGGTTGGATCTAGAAAGAGATTGACTTAAAACATACCCCCCCCCCACACACACACCAATTTGTCTCATAACATAACAAAGACAAACCATTCCCAAGTGGAATTGTAACCACAGACATGTTATGTGTCTTCCAGTTGCCTCCAACTCACAGGGACCCTCTATGTACAACGCAAGATAACACTGCCGATTTCTGCACCATCCTCACAATCCTTGCTGTGCTTGAACCCATCTTTGCAACCACTGTGTCAATCCATCTCATTGAGAGTTTTCCCCTTATTTGGTGACCCTTTACCAAGCATAATATCCTTCTCCAGGAAACGGTCCCTTTTGACAACATGACCAAAGTAAGTGAGATGAAAATAGTATGGTTGGGGTCAGGTGCACCTTAGTCTTCAAAGTGGCATCTTTGCTTCTTAACACTTTAAAGAAGTCTTTTGCAGCAGATTTGCCCAATGCAATACATTTGATTTTTTTTAAATTGTGATTTGGGTGAAGATTTACAGAGCAAGCAAATACACTTTCCATAGCAGTTCACATACACTTTGTCTCATGACATTGACCACAGTTTACCACAATGCAACAGCTCCCCTCCCACCTCCTCCCCATAGTTACCCCGTCCCAGTGTCCATCTCTCCATGGGCTCCTGCCCCCTGAGCTGTCTCCCTAGGCATGAACAGCCCTTCTTTCTCCATGATTGTTCTCTCCAAGGAGTGTATCTACTTGAGGTAAATGTTCAACTCATATGCCTGTATTTTGTTTGTCTGGAAACCGCAGGTGTAGGTTCAATTCCAGACTCGAAGGGCAGTTAGGGGCCATAGTCTCAGTGGTTCCACCAGGCTCTATCCGACCAGCAAACCTGGTCCCCACCTTTTTTTTTTTTTTCCTCCAAATGATTTTGAATTTTGTTCCACATTGTTCTCCCTCGCTATCAAGGATCGCCTACATAGATCCACTTCAAGTGGATGACAGTGAGTGGTAGCTGGGCACCATCTAGTTCTTCTGGTCTCATAGTTGTATAGGCTGCAGATCGGATGGTGTACCAGTTGCTAGGACTAATTGTTTCCATGAATTTTGGTTTTCTTCATTCTTTTTTGCTCTGGACAAGTAGAGATCCATTGTTGCATCTAGGTGGCAGCTTGCTAGCTTTTAAAATCCCAGTTGCTACGCTCCAAAATAGGAGGTGGAACAGTGTTTTGTATAGTATGTTATGCCAATTGAGCTTGATGTACCCTGCGACTATACGTTTGATTTCTTAACTGCTGCTTCCATGGGTGTTGATAACTACAGGCATACAACTTAGGGTTTACAACAAGTATTTTTAGGGGACACAGTTCAAGCCATAGCAATCTCTTAGGTTTCTTTTAAGCTAACATTTTTTAGTTACTCTGTGACAAGAGCTGTGCTGCTAGCTTTGCATGTGCTCTCATTTAATCTTAATAATAACCTTGGAAGGTAAAGAAACCTACTGTTAGCATTTCATAGATGAAGAAACTGAGTCATTAATGGTTAAAGCATGTCAATCCAAACATATGCTAATAGTTAATGAGTTTTTTTTTTTAATGAGAGATGCTAAATGATGTTAGAAGGAGTCATACTATGTCCCTCCTCTCATTCCTTCTTTCAGTGTGTTGAGAACTTGCTTTTCGCTCTAACTCCTAAAGAAATCCACCTTTCTACCATGCCTCAATTGTGTTATTGTTATGTGCTGTCGAGTCGGACCCGACTCATAGCGTTTGACGACTCATGGGTTTCCGAGGCAGTATCACTACGGAAGTAGATTGCCCCATCTTCCTTCCGAGGAGTGTCTGGTGGGTTTGAACCACCAGCCTCCTGGTTAGCAGTCAAGTGCCTTAGGCACTACGCTATCAGAGCTCCCATGCCTCAATTAGGTGTTCATTTGTGTTGTGTGCTAGTGATAAAATGAGCCATCTGCAGTTCATTTGTAGTGTCTCTCTACATTACTAAATCCAAAAACTGTTTTGGGATTTCAGTCTTGTTTAAATGTATTTCCTCTGCAGGGCCTAGAAGTGAGAAATAGGACATAGGGGAAGAGGTAGATATTCATCCTGGTTTTGGAATGTAAAGACAGTGAGAGGGTTAGAGGGTTCAAAGATGGAGACACATTTAAGGAAAAATACTATGTATTTATGGAAGGAAGTTTTTGTTAATGGCTCTGGTCACCGTCTCTTAGGAATATCTGTGGATCTCTTACGGAAGGTGAAGGTGAAGAGGAGTACTATGATTACTTCATTATAGAAGCATTGTTTTATTGCAGTATACTCCAGTAAATTCTGCTGAAGCTTACTAATCCAGATCAAAAGATGTTTTAGAATAGAAAGGATGTTTTAAGAGTGTGTTATTTTAATTGTTATATTTAGGAAGAAAATGCAAGGAAAATCAGGGAACTTTTAGTTAATACTGGTTTGTGGGATTTGGGGGTAGGTTAAGAGGTGAGATCAGGGAAAATCTAGGCATTCAGAAACAATCCTGGACTCTCAGATTTTAAAGAAAAAGCAGTTCCATGTGAAGAATAAATGACAGAAATAGAATGTAAACCTGTTTCATACTATCTAATCTTTGGGTTTCACTGTTAAATATACTTTAAAATTTAAAATAAATAAATAAATAAATATTTTCAGTGATCTGTATGCTACATATTTCACTCTTTTTTCAACTGATGTTTGTATTCATAGAAATATTTTGTTTCTCTAATGGACATCAGAATGGGTTACGACAGCTCTTTACTTTGAGTTCAACTGATGCTTTCCTATACCAAGTTAAATTAGTTCACATTGAAACAAATGAGTAACGTATTCATTTTCTTTTAAAAATGTAGTAAAATTGAGTTTATTTTGCCAAAGTTTTCTTCTATCTCAATTGTACTTTAGCCTTAATCTAGTCGCTGAAAGACAGAATTCACATTTGAGATATGGTTACCTCTGACCTGTCCTTGACAACAGAGAATTTTAATTTTATTCCAAGAAAATTAAATTCTCCCCTTCTCTCACTTTATCAAAGTATATATAACAAATGGAAATAAATTGGCTAGGCCATCTTCAAAATTTTCCTAACTGGTAAGCCAGTAGGCTTTAAGTTAGGAAACGATAATGCTGCTAACCCAAAGATTGGCAGTTCAAACCTACCCAGCAGCTCTGAAAAAAGACCTGACTGTCCTCTCCTGTAAAGGTTATAGCCTAGAATTGGGGCAGTTCTGCTGTGTCACATGAGGTGGCTATAAGTCAAAATCAACTCAATGGCACCAAACAACAGTGTCATGTACTACTATTCTTACAGCTTGACTTAGCTGCTAAAGGTATGAAAAGCGAACTATTTCAGATTATAGTAGTGTTAATGAATATAGTGGGAGCTCTGGTAGCATAGTGGCTAAGACACTTGACTGCTAACCAGAAGGCTGGCACTGCTAACCAGAAGACTGGCTGTTCAAACCCACCAGCCACTCCTTGGAAGGAAGATGGGGCAATCTACTTCCATAGTGATACTGCCTCAGAAACCCAAAGAGGGGTTGCTATGAGTTAGGTCCGACTCAACGGCACATAACAAGAACAAAAATGTATATAGTAAAGCAAACTATTTCAAAGTAGAGTAGTGTTATTAGTTCCAGCATTTTGGTGCCTTGAAATTATAACATCAGATTAAATCTAATTTTAATAAAAACAAAACAAAACAAAATCACTGCTGTCCAGCTTGTTCTGACTGATAGCAATCCCTCCTTGGGTTCCCAAGGAGGTGTCACTACAGAAGTAGATCGCTGGAGTCTTCCTTCCAAAGAGTGAGTGGCTGGTGGGTTTCAACCACCAGGTTTCAACCGCCAGGATTCTGGTTAGCAGTCAAATGCCTTAGGCACTACACCACCAGAGCTCCTCCTTACATGCAAATACCATGCCGTTTTATATAAAGGACTTTTATGTCCGAGGATCTTGTTATCTGCTGGAGTCCTGGAACCAGTCCTCTGTGGATACTGAGGGGTAACTCTATATATTTCTTGTTCAT